GTTATTATCTGGATGGTACAGATAAGAAAATGGAGCCTTAGCTGGTAAAGTGACATTCTCAGAGTGACACAGCTCATAAGAAGCAGAGATCCAGGCCCATTTGTCCTCACTGGATGGGTAAGAAGGTTCCACAAGAAATAGTCTAACACCGCATCCACGTGACCCAGCAAGGCGGCTCCAGGGGAATGGGACACTCTCCAGGCTGCTCAATGGAATGTCCAGTAACTAAGGCCGCACCCCAAGCAGAAAGGAAGGGGATTTAGCCCTTCTATTAGTTGAAGAGAAAACCTGTTGAATCACTCCCCATTCCTATAAAGACAAAAGGCTTAAAGGTCTTTGCTCTTAGTTCTCAGAGCTTCTGTTATTGTTCAATATCACACCAGGGTGCCACATTGACGTAGACTGACATGATTTTCATTTTAAAGAGTGTTTTTGCTTAATTTCCCTGAAATGATTTTTTTTCCCCTTTTTTGAAAGAGTCAGGGAAGCAGGCATAGAGGCCAGCCCAAGAGGAAGTTCTCAGATCTCTTTAGGACAAGTCATATTGCTGAGAAGGAGAGCTTCAGTTGAGCCTTACACGGCCTATGAAGGAAATCCTTGCTGCCCTGTCCTGGAGAGACCCTTGGGCCATCGGGGAGGGGTTTTCATGCCCTGTCTGTTACTGAGTAGTCCTCAGGATGGGAGGTGGGGGGTCTCCAAGGTTCCTCCAGACTTCCCAAAACATGGGACCAAAGCAGAAAATTCCACGACCCAGTGCAGGGACTGGTTTCTTCCTTGCTGTGTGTTTCTCCTCTCACCCTCTCCTTTCAGGTCATTACCCTCTTGCTTTCCCCCTCCCTCCCTCCCTCTCGAGGGCAGGAAGATCAGAAACCTCATCATAATCACCCGCTGGGCTTCTGCCACCATCAAAACTCCTCTTAGGAACCCCCCAGGGAGGCCATTACCTGTGGCCTCCGTGGCCTTGCTTAGGAGCACTTACTGGGCTAATGGGATTGCAAGGCCCTCAGGAAGTCTCTGCACTCAGTCAGGGACATGATTAGCTGCTTCGCAATCCCCAGAGGAGTGCCAGGAGCAGCTCACCGGCCTGGTTTCCCTAATGCCACTCTCCTCCTCCTAAACAATATTTTTTGTTCGTATTTTGTTCAAAAGTTAATATTTAAGTGCTTACTATATGCCAGGCACTGTTCCAAGTGCTTTGATGAATTAACTCAGTTAATTTTCATAACAAGCCTATTAGATAAGTACTATCTCCATTTTACAGATGAGGAAACTGAGGCACAACTAGCAGGGATCTGAACCCAGGCAATCTGGCTCCAGAGACTGAATTTTTAACCATTTAAGCAGTTAATATACAATAAGTATCTGTTGGGTGCTTGGTGCTACATTAAGCACAAGCTATATAGAAAAATAATCCTTCATGAAAACAAGACTTTGATGTCACCATGCAAATGTCAAGTCAAACGAAAGACAAGAAGTATCCTTTATTACTGATAGTACCTTGCAAAAAGATTGTGAGAACCACTGAACTCCATTCTGCAAGAGTAAAGGCGTAGAGGCCTCTCCTCCATCCACGCCCCCTCCAAGAGTCCTGCCTGTAATTATAACCCCAGCGGTGGATGGTGGTGGGCATGGCCAGGGATGGGGACTTAGGTGGTAGAGGCATGTGAGAGGAGGGCCATGTCAGTTGAGTAATTGTACCAGGGGACTCCAAGGCCCCACCAATCCAATAGGTCTGTAAATATACAGACTACCAGGCCTCTTCCCTGGGAATTCTGAGTCAGTCGGTCTGGGTTGGTGTCCAGAAATCTGTTTTGTAAAATGCACCCAAGGTCATTCTTGCCCTCAGACAAGATGGGAATCACTTTGTAATGACCTGAACTTTGGTGGTGCTGCTACGACACCTGGCTCCTTCTGAAAGGCCACCTAGGGAGTCTGTGCTGCCACTCCCATGGTTCTGGAGAGGGATCGTCACACGCTCTGGGGAAATTCTGGTGGCACCAAGAGCACTGTGGTGACAGGTGGAGCAGGACTTTTTCTCACAAGTTAGTTATCCTCAGCACCCAGGAGTCTGGGGGAGGGGGCTTGCTCTTGGGGACTCGCAGCTTAATTTCTTCTCCTATTGCCCAGAGCATCTTCTATCTTCTAATGGTTCTAGATGACATGAGGCCCAGACATGGCCCTGACCTGGCCCACTGGCAGGTGTGATAAGCCCTCAGAAGGAGATATTTCCTGGGAGTTTGAGGTCGAGAATTTGAAAATAGCTAGGATGTGCCGCCTGACCCTGAGTAACTCCAATCTGGCCATTCAGCCAGAGATGGACCTGTTAATAGCAAACAAATCTAACTCAGACAGAGTCTAAGAGAGATATGAAGAGCAGGCCAGGGAAGCACAGAGGAGGGAACAGCTAAACCTATGTTGAAGCAGAACATAGAGAACACTCAAGAGCTGAGTCTCAAGGAATGAATGAATAGAAGCTCAACAGATGAGGAAGGAAAAGTCATTTCAGGCTTTTCTGCCTTGTGTTCCTTCTTTTGGGGAAACACCCTTCCCTACTTCACAGTAATCCTGCGATTACTGTGCATGAGATTCAGATGAAGCTAACTCCGCTTTCCTTACCCCGTGGGGGGCATATGACCCAGACCTCCTGCTCATAGCACACAATCCCCCATGGGACTCGAAAATAGGTAGGGTAGCTAGGCCAAGTGGAGAACTCTCTAGAAGTATTGCTTATGCTATGGGAAAGCCACCTCCTCTTTCTGCGGAATTTTTGTTGTAAAGATGACACTGAGGGCAGTCAGCAGCTGACGCACCACCAAAGGGAGAGGGCCTGGTTGAGATTGAAGCCAGGCAGAGGAAAGCGGAAAGGTGAGATAGAAGGACACGAGGGTCTCATGGTGGCATTCAATTCCTAGATCCCCTGAACTTCAAGATTATGTCTACCGATACGTTCTATTTTTTGTTTGAGCAAAAAGGCTCTAATAAGTGGGCAGAAAAACAGCAGCTACAAAGGGTGGAACCTTGAGAGGTCAGGGTACCCTTGAGGGTGGCGAAAGGGCCAGTGGAGCAGAACTAAAGATGTGTGAGTGAACAGTGACTGGAAGATGGGCTGGGGCAGGTTTGGAAGGCACTTGTGTTCTTTGGGGACTGAGTCATTAAGATTTTAAGCATGAGAGTGATGCCAGCATATGTGTGTTTGAAGGGTAACTCTGGTGTCAGTGTGGAGAAATGCCTGAGCCAACAGACTGGACCCTAGAGTCCAGGGAGGAAGCCGTTAGAACAGGCTGGTGGAGAGATGACAAGGCCTCCAGTCCTCAGAGAGCCTGGAAAGCAGGAGGTGGAGTTGAGAGATACTTAGGAGATGAGCAGACAAAACTCAGTGTCATATTATAATATATAATATGAAATATACATTTGGTCTTTGTTCTTTCCTGTTGCTGGCACAGAGCTCCTAAAACCCTTAGAATTTCCTAGGTGGTGAGCATCCAAGGTGTATTTTGTTATGTTAATAAGGTGACTTTTGGAAAGCACTTAAGGCTAGCGGCTGGTTGCCAGAGAAACCAACCAAGTAATTACAGGGTTGAAATTTTCAGTCCTGCTACCCCTCTGGGAAGGAGAGAGGGGCTGGAGGCAGAATCAATCACCAGTGGCCAATGGTTTAATCAGTCATGCCTAGGTAATGAAGCCTCCATAAAAACCCAAAGGACAGGGTTCGGAGAGCTCCCGAGTTGGTGAACACATGGAGATTCGGGGAGAGTGGCACCTACTGAGAGGGCACGGAAGCTCCCTGCCCTTCCCCCAGACCTTGCTCTATGCATCTCTTCCATCTGGCTGTTCCTGGATTATACTCTTTTATAATAAACCAGTAATCTAGTAAGCAAAATGTTTCTCAGAGTTCTGTGAGATGCTCTAGCAAATTAATCGGGGGTAGTGGGAACCTCTGATATATAGCTGGTTGGTCAGAAATACAGCTGATAACCTCAATTTGCGATTGGCATCTGAAGTGGGGGGAGCAGTCTTGTGGGACTGAGCCTTTAACCTGTGGGATCTGATGCTATCTCCAGGTAGATACTGTCAGAATCGAGTTGAATTGTAGGACACCCAGCTGGTGTTGGAGAATTGCTTAGTGGTGTGGGAAAAAACCCCATGCGTGGGAATTGGGTGCAAAATTATCCTCAGTGACTGGACGTGACAGAGGCAGTAGAGGGATCAGAAGGGCAGGCTCTGAATTCAGGCACGCCAGATTTACATCCTGTCTGCTACACCTAACGGCTGTGGGATGGGATCTTATTTAACCTCTTTAAGGCTCAGCTTCTGCATCTGTAAAATGGGAACGATAATAGTGCACACTTCATGGAGCTGTTGTGAGGATGAAATGAACTACTGTATGTAAAGGTACTTAGCACAGTGCTTGGCACAAAGTAACACTCAATAAATGATAGCTGTTGTATGGAAGGTGAAGAAGAAAGATAAAGGTGACCCTAAATTCTCCAGCTTGACAATTTGGAAAAATGCTGAGGACAGTGATCAGGACAGGAAATGCCAGAGAAGGATAGGTTTTATGGGGAGGGAGAACACAAATTTGTTTTTGGATGTGTTGAGTCTGATGTGCCTACAGAACCTGTGGGTGGGAGTGTCCAGCAAGCAGTGAGACCTCAGAACTCGACGTTTGGTGGACACTGGCCAATGGATAGCCACTGAAGCAAGGAGAGGGTTGAGGACAGACACGGACACTTTATGGGACACAAGGGAGGAGGAGCAGCCAAGGAGGAGTCAGCAAGCTGTTCAAGGCAGGAGATGTGAAGAGGGAACTGTTTTAAGCATGGATAAGCTGTCAGAGGACAGGATCCATCTCTGTTTGGGAGCTGTGGGAATTCTTGTTTCTTCAGTAGGGAAAATGAGAGCTGAAACCCAAGACCACTTGCTAAGGGATCTCTGGCTCCACCCATAGGGCTGTCTTTAAGGAGCTCAGTGTGGCCCTCAGGTGACTTGCTGCCCCTTACCTCCAGGTATTGATTAGCCAGGCGTAGGGTGCGATCAGTGATGTTAAATACATCCCTCCAGTTGATGTTGGCCATGTCGTCAGCCCGGCTCTCTCGAGGACCCTTATAGAGGAAGTTCAGCACAGCTTCGGCAGTAATACCTTCCTCACCAAGCTGCTTGTTCAAAAAGTCTTTTACTGTTGGGTTCCCCAGGGTGTCCTTAGGAAGAAGCAATACAGTCACAGCTTTAGAAATTTCACAGGATCTTTGGTCTTGTTTTCATGCCATTTCCAATTTTTAATGAACAGGGTTAAACTCTAAGGCTCCCTAAAAAGCTAGGGGATTTTATTCCATCATAAGGCATGTCTATCTATGTCCTATTTCCTCCAAATACATGGGTCTCTATAATAGAGGGAAGGTGTGTGGGGGCCGCCCCGGTGGTGCAATCGGTTAAGTGCGTGCCCTCCTCTGTGGCGGCCCGGGATTCACCGGTTCGGATCCCAGGCACGGACATACGCACCGCTTGACAAGCCATGCTGTGGTGACGTCCCATATAAAGTAGAGGAAGACGGGCACGGATGTTAGCCCAGGGCCAGTCTTCCTCAGCAAAAAGAGGAGGATTGGCATCAGATGTTAGCTCAGTGCTGATCTTCCTCACACACAAAAAAAAGAAAATAGAGGGAAGGTGTGTATTTTGGGTAGGGGAGAGGGACTGGGAAAATGGTACATAGGAAGCTTTCTTTTTCTTAAAGATTTTTTTGTTCTTTTTTAATTATCCATGCTATATAGGACTCTTGTCTCCTGGTTTTGCAAGGCTGAAAATGAGACCAGACAGACATGCTCAACCATTTTTGCAGTTACAGTCTCCCTTGGGGAGATGCCCCTTTGGATCCGAGGCCCTCAAGTGAATTCATAAAAGCAAGAAACTTCAGGAAGCCACTGGTCTTGTGGCGGTTTTTACAGTTCCCCTAGACTTCAAGAAACAGATGTCCCACCCAAAGTCAGTGACTCCACTTGGTGGCAGCTTCTAGAACTAGCGTTCGTTGAACGCTATTTTGATCTAACTGCAGTAGTGATTAACCCTTTACTGGGAAAAGGAAACAGCTGGAACTTTCTTGGCCCTTCTCCTCCCCTCCCCCTCCCGACCTCCAATGCCCTCCGTACTCTGATCATGGTCATCTGTGTGCCCTCATCAAAGAAGTACCAGATCTGGGGCCCTACTTCTTCCCAGGCTTTGACCAACTTCCTAAGGCGCTCCAGCTCTTCAAAAGTCGAGTTGGCCTAAAACCAGACAGAGATAGAGACAGAGAAAAGAGCAGAGAGAAAAAAAGTGAGCGAGAACCTTTGGTTGTATAGTTCCTGCCCTATCACAAACCCTCAATGTTTAGGAAAGGCTTTTCAAGGAAGCATCTTTATGTTTCAGTCAATTGATATTCCCCAGAACGATCTGCTATTTCTCAGCCTCCCAGATTGACAGAATCTAATTGCTTAGTATCTCAGAAGTACGTGTAATATTGATGATGTTATTGTCTCAGAACCTCATTAAAGCTAGATTTGGACTTCCTGTCAGCAAATGCTCTTCCTCCCTTCCTCTCTGTCTTTGTCTGTTCCAGGTAGCCAGGATTCAGAGAACTGTGAACCCTTTCATTAGGGATATAATATAGGTGCTAGGAAAGAAAACCTCACTGTAGGCTGCGTGGAGAGGGGAGGGCCCCGGCAGGGGCACATTCCAATGATGACTGTGGATGGGGGAGGAACCCAAGAGTCCACTTAGCAAAAAAAAAACATGAGGCTCACTACCAGGAGGGCACAGAACACACACACACACACACACACACACACACACACACACACACGCATGCGCGTGCTCGGACTCAGTCTTCTGGGCCATCTAAGGTAGAAGGGACAAGACCAGGTGGGATCTTACATTCTTCAGGATCCTGCGTGCTGCAGGGGAATCTGGAGTAAAGAGGATTTTTCCCATCAACAAAGGCTTTGCTGCCCTCCAGGCTATTTTGGTTAGAGGGTTTGACTCCAGGCTCTGGATCAATGCATTACAAAAGGTCGCTGCCAGGAGAGAAGGGACAGATTTTATGGAAACTCCCCCGGTGCTCAGAGCTAAACATAGTCATTAGTATGTTCACATCACATGTCTCATTCGACTCCATGCTGGAGGATTTAACAAATAACCTAAATTAATAGGCTGTTCCACACCAATAACAAGCTCATCATTAGTAAGTAACAAAATGCCACAGAACGCCTCAATAAGGGCCTCATCAGAGAAACAAAGGATGGGGCTTGCCCTGTGGTTTCTTCTGCTGTAGAAGGAGGCTGAGAAGGCTGCTTGTGATTATTGCAAGGAACAGAGGTCACTCTCAGATGAAAGAGACCAGAGGCCTCCCCTTGGAATCTCGGCTTTAGTCTCAATAATTTCCCCTCAGTTAGCTGCTTAACTTTGTTGCGCCTGGCCATCTTAGGGCCCAGCTGCTTTTGGTGTGTGCCTTGCTGCCTCTTTTCAATTTTAAACTGGAGGGTCACCCACTTGCATTTCTTCTCCATCCCACCCTTCTTTACCCCACAGAAGCCAAAAAAAATAGTGAAAGATGGGAAAGATAACTTGCCAGGGACTTGCCATTTGCCATGTAACTCAGTACTACACACACAGACTCTCAGAGCATTGGGTTTGTAAAAACATCCCACAGCCATGTTTACTTGTGAGGGCCCTTCTGACCTGGACTTTGCTTGCAACTCTGGGTTGCCTCCTCATTTATCTTTCTTCTCTTCCTCTAGAACTTAACCCCAGGTCAATCAGATCAGTGGGAAATGTCCCCTCTGTTCCCTTTCCAAGTGGGTCTCAGTTCTTTCCATGGCTCACATCCCGAATTCTTTATGAGCACCTCCCCCTTCCTACAAGGGGAAATGGGAGGAGAAGCCTCTTTGCCCAGGGACCCTCAAAGAGAGCAAGGTGGAGTCAAGCCCAGGACTGGTTTCCCCTGGACATGTCAAACCATCAGCTTAACCAGCATCAGAAGCTGATTTATGTGCATGACTCAGAAAACTTACTCGTTCTTTTGTCATAAGAATAGATAGGATCTTTCCTTGTGGAGTCAATCCCCAGGAAGGCCTTATAGTTATTGTCTTCATACCAGTTGAAGGAGAACACCCGAGAGCCTCCTCCATCTGGGTAGCCACAAAAGAGGTCGGACAGGATGCCCATCAGCTGTGTGAAAGTCTCTGGACCACCAGGCTGCATAAGGGGCCTGGTCACCCATAGCAAGTCTTGAACACTTGGCCGATGGATGAACTAGGGCAAGGCAAAGACTTAGGTTATTTTTAAGGCAGTCAGAATCATAGTCTACCACGAGGCCAAAGCTCCAAAATTTGGTGAACCCTCCACATATGAGTTTAACTTCCACATTTGAAAGAAAACTTCATTATTCTCAGCGATCCTTAATTCAGCTGTGAAATAAAAACCTACTGTCATGTACTCAGGGCCTAGGAGGAAACTAGGATGAGCCTTAAAGAACACCACAAGTGAATCCCAAAGCATTTTAACATCACTTCTCTTTTCCAATCCCCTTTATTTGAATTCCTTGGGAATGTGTCCTTGGGGAAATGTAGACCTATTTGACTGTAAGCCAGTTCTCAGGTTCTGTTATCCTGTAAGATGGGGTACTGGAGAAAACTGGGAAATAAAATGATGGAGGAATGGCTCTGTCCTAGAAAGGCAAGGTCAGAGCAAATTTCTTTTGTCAGATAGTCTAGAAGTTAGTTTCTTATATTTGGAAAATTATCTTCTTATTAGCTTAATTTTACCAAATGTGAACTCATCCATTTCTGTGAAATGTGTGGTTTGTGGTTTCTTTTAATGTGTGTGTGTGTGTGTGTGTGTGTGTTTTAAGATGGAGGCACATATAGAACAGATGGATTCTCCATTCTTTGCAAAACACTTTTTAAATTCTGCACCAAACTAAGAGGCTGGTGGTCTTCTCCTCCCTACGGCTACCCATGGCACTCTCTGGCCTCATCCTTTGAAGGTAGGTCTGTATTGCTGACAACTAAGTTGAGGGCTGCCAGAGCTGCTAGGGTCTCAGCTCCCATAATGCCATCTGGCTTTGCTTTAAGGGAAAATACAAAGTAAAAACAATGCTGCTTTTATTTACTTTATTATTCATTTTCAAAGGCATTTGGGAGTTTAAAAAACCATTAGGATTCAATCAGGTGAGACTGAAAACAGTTCCCCTCACTGTAATAAGTGATGTTTACCTGTCAATCCCTCTCTGTCCACAGGCCAACACTTGCCCTCTGAAACTGTTGAGTGCCCTGTAGAATCCACGCAGTGAGTCATGCCTATAATCACAGGCTAGGCTTCAATAATAAAGCCGGAATCTCACATTGCTTCAACAACAGTAAGTCTTGTGACAGTCTTGTAAGGGGTTATTACTACTATTATGTTGCTCACTTAATCAAAGCACTTGGAGATGAAGGGGCTGTTTCAGGGTCAAATGGTCTAGTATCAGTTAATATAAACTGGGCCATCTGCTTCAACCTCGTTCACAAACTCAGACTTGCTATCTAGACAGGCAAGAAACTTCGGGAACTCCCACATAGAATGAACAGTGTTGATATGCTCTGGGGAATTCTTTTACATTCTCTATCAACTTGAACGCTATTATACCGATATGAATTTTTTAAATGCTTATGAAGAAAAGAATGTTAAATGGAGACTCCCACTGCAGCAAGTGGCCATCAGTACAATGGGCCCTTCTCTGTTCCCCTGCTCACACTCTGCCAAGGCTGAGCTTAGTTTTATGAAGACAGATTCCAACCATGCAGTGTTCCAGGCTGGCAAAGCCCAAGTCAGCTGAAAATACTGGGAGGGGGGAAAAGTTTGGGGAAAATTATGTTTCACCTTTCTCCATTTCATAATGCTCATCACACTTGAAGGTGATTGCTTATTTCACATCTCTCTTCCCCATTGGACTGTACCTTTCACAAGGGCAGTGACCACATCTGTCTCTTCATCATTATGGCCCCAGCCCCTCTCATCTATTGAGTGGAGAATCAGTTTCTATATGGGCAATGGCTTGTGCAATCAGATGTTCATTAAAATGTGCACATCTTTTACAAAACAAAACAAAAAAGTCAATTACTTTCTTTGTGATGAAATGAGTTGAAATATGTAAGACTCTTAGTGCCTATAAGCACTCTGTGAGGGTATACTATTACTATTAGTGGTCTAGATTTATGTGGATTTTTAAGAGCATAATAGAATATTGGACAACATCAGTACGGAAAAGACTTAGATTTGACTGTCAGTCTGCTGATAATTTGCCACACCAGACAAGGTGGTATTTCTTTCTAGGTGTGAAATCAGAAAGGTGGTTCCTTTCTTTCTGCCTCTGCCTCGAGAGCACAGATAATTTAGAATATAAACAGGTGCTTTGAAATTGCTAGATGGAAAGATCAAATGTATTTCTCCTTGAACAGGTTTGAGGCACAATTAAATTATTTGACATAATAAGTGTGGTAAAATGGTGGAAAGCTATAATGAAGTTATAATTACTATCATCGGGCCACTTACCTCTTGAATTCTTGGCGACACATCAGATAATATTTTTCCCCAGGATCTCAGATTGATACCTTGAGAACCACTGTCTAGGAGTGTGGGAAGCTGTAATTGATAGAAAAAATATTAAAATATACATATGTAGTTCTACATACACACATAGGCACTTTCTGATCTCCTGTATGCCTGAAAAACATTTCCTCCCTTCTTTCTGATCACAGGACCTCTTCAGCAAGATTGCTTTCAGAAACAAACTTCTTTTATCTAATTGAGACAATCAATGGCTCTTATTCCGAGTCGCCCCGCTGAGCTAGTCAATCACAAATAGTTTCATGGTGACATTAAATACGCCAAAGTGACTCTGATTGCTGATTTAGTGACACCAAACAAGACTCCTGGAGGAAGGAGAACAGCGCAGCTGCTGGAGTAGAAAGGAAGGCTGCGTGCGGAGGTGACGTCTGTGCACCTCGGGCTTTGTAGGCACTCTGGGGCTTTCTCGCCATTGTTCACGTCTTTGCTCCCTTTGTGTCCTTTTCAGGCTGGTTGTGTGTCTTCCTCTGTTCAACGTGACTTTCTTATATGGAAGCTTCAGCCAGTTACATCATCTTTCTTCTAAAGCTGCTCTAAACTGTTCTGGTGACCCCAGGCTCACAGGACCAAACGGAACTATTCGTGCCTTTTCCACCTCGGTGGGGTACGTGGAAGCCCACTTGCTAGCTCCAAGTCCCAGAGCCTGTTGGGAACACCTTGTTTTCCGGAAACCAAGTTCCAGTCCTGAATGAAAGACTTCATTCTTCGTAGTTTCAAAAGTGATTGAATCACTGATCCTGTGTTTTTTAGGATCAAATGCTAAGTTTTAACATGGTGGTTTTCAAACTCAATGTTCATCTTTTTTATTTATTTATTTTTTTTGTGAGGAAGATCGGCCCTGAGCTAACATCTGTGCCAATCCTCCTCTTTTTGCTGAGGAAGACTGGCCCTGGGCTAACATCCATGCCCATCTTCCTCTACTTTATCTGGGATGCTGCTACAGCATGGCCTGACAAGTGGTGCATTGGTGCGCGCCCAGGATCTGAACGGGGGCTGCCAGCAGCTGAGCGCACGCACTTAACCGCTATGCCATGGGGCTGGTCCCTTCAATGTGCATCTTGAGTAGGCCCGGAGGGGATCTGCATTTTAATAAGCTCGACATGTAATTCTGATTCAAGTATTTGTGAAGCACAGGCCACAAGCTTTGCTTTTTATTTGCCAGTGGGCTTCTCCTAAATGATAAGTGGACTGATGCAGCTGTGGCAAAGCAGACAAGCAGTTGGAGTCAGACTTTGAACAGCCCGGCCTTCCCTTTCTTCCCACTGTGGGTGCCAGGGCCCTTGTGTCCTGAAGCCAAAGAATAAATGTAGGTACCCTTATGGGGCATTAGCATTTCAGGCTTGCTTTCCAACTTTAAAATGTAAAATGAAACACTTGGTTATGCGTGAGAGCTACAAAGCAGACAGCAGAAGAATTTTCCAGAGGAAGGGACAGCAAAGCCTACCATAGAAACCAGACCACTGAGAAGTGTCTTCTCTCCTTAACCCTAACACTCGGCCTAGGCATTGGTCTTGTCATGACTTCTTTTCAAACTCCTTGAAAATAGCTTCAGTGTCTGCTGGGCAAAGCACTTTAATTCCTGTTTTTTCCGTAGGAGGGCAGGGCTAAGGAGAGTAGGTAGGAAGAGAGGAAGCAAGCAGGTCAAAATGTGTGTCAATGGCAAGTTTTCACCCGGTCCTGCCCATTCTCCCTCCTAACTATCTCCAACAAGCTCTGTCAGAGAGGAAAGGAGATCCAAGAGACACCTCAATAAAATGCCACGCGTGGACCTTATTTTGATTTTGATCTGGACAAACCAGCTGTAACAAAAAGAGGGAAAGGGAACGTGACTGAATCTGAGACAATGTTAAGGAATTATTGTTTAATTTTGTTGGGTGTGATCACAGCATTGTGGTTTTGTTAAAACAAGTAAGTTTTTATCTGTTAGAGATACATAGGGAAGTGTGGAAGGGCGAAATGACATGTTGCCTGTGATTTGCTTTAAAAGACTTTGGGGAAAAAAATGAGGAACAGACAAAACAAGAACAGCCAAATGTTGAAAATAGTTAAAGCTGGGTGATGGGTAAATGGGGGTTCATTATATTATTCTCTCTACTTTTACACTTTTTTTAATAATAAAAGAGGAGTTTTTTTGCATTTGAAAATAAATACATGGCCGAATGAATGGATACTAAGTAAATACTCTCTCCTCTCTTTTTTTCTTCCTCACTAGGACTGCCTTGACTCAGGCTCCCCTTGCCTCTCTTCCAGAATATTTTATCAGAATAGCCTTCTTGCTGGCCCCTTGCCTCTAGTCTCCTCCCTTCCAATGCACCCTCCACACTGTAGCCTGAGTTACCTCACAGGCCAATCCGATCACGTCACTTCTCCTGCTCAAGGATCCTCCTTGGCTCCCTACTGTCTCCAAGAGAGAAGGTCAATACCAGTGCTGGACACACATGGCCTCTCATGAACTGGTATGTGGCTCCCTCTCTAGGCTTCTCTCTTGCTTCTCCTTTATCGGGCTGGACTTCTTTCTACATTCCCCAATGGGTCCGTTTCTTTCTCATGCCTCCTGGCTCTGCACACCGTTCCCCTCACCTTCTCTGCCTGGCGGACTTCTCCTCACCCTTCAAGGCTCATTCCTGACACCGCTGTCTATGTGAAAGACAGTGTCCCCGTGATTTAGACAAGACTCCTCCTTCTGTGCTGCTTTGCTTGCCCTCGCCCTGGTGTGCTCTATGGAGGTGCCCCGTTCATTTCCTTCCTTGCACTCTTCACCATTGGTAATTATTCTGTGGTTTACTTGTCATCTGTCTCTCTTATTCTAATAAGCTCCATGTAGACAGGAACCGTGTCTGTGTGCTGGCCACGTAGTAGACACTCAGGCATATATCAACCACGATGAATGAATGAATACTCGTATTATAGCAACAAGCTGATTGACCATAATTGTTTGTATACCTGATACTCCGTGATATAGTGTGCTCATTAAAGGCAGTGTATTAGTTAGGGTTCTCCCGAGAAACAGATCCAATAGGAGATATATATATACACATATATATATGTGTGTGTGTGTGTGTGTGTGTATATGTATGTATACATATATATATATATAGGAAGAGATTTGTTATAAGAAATTGGCTCATACAATTATGGAGGCTGGCAAATCTTAAGATCTGCAAGGTGAGTCAGCAGGGTAGAGACCCAGGAGAGCTGATGGTGTAGTTCCAGTCCAAAGGCTGCCAGGCTTGAGACCCAGGAAGAGTCGATGTTTCAGTTCCAAAGGCAGAAAAAAATGCCAGTGTCCCAGTTCAAAGGCAGTCAGGCAGGAAGAATTGTCTCTTACTTGGTGGAGGGTCAGCCCTTTTGTTCTATTCAGTCCTTCAACTGATTGGTTCAGGCCCACCCACATTAGAGAAGGCAATCTGCTCTACTCAGTCTATTGATTTAAATGTTAATGTCATCCAAAAACACCCTCACAGAGATATGTGGGATAACATCTGACCAAATATCTGGCCACCCCATGACCCAGTCAAGTTGACACATAAAATTAACCATTACAGGAAGGAACTCTATCTTTTTATCTTTATATCACTCAAACTTCTTATCTATTGCATTTTCTATAGAAGCTCAGGAAACATCTGTGAATCATAATACAGGGCAGTAGGATAAAGGTTGCCGTAAAGGCTGTGATACACTCGCCAATTCCAATTAGAGGAGGCTCTGCAACACAAGGCTACTCTGAAGTTGCCTTTTTAAAAAAGAGTAAATAAATTTTGGTCTTTTCATCTTGAAGTCAGAGTCCCTTTACTGAGGTCTTATTAGAAAGGGATGCAATGAAGAAGTGGTAAATTAATAACTTCTGAAAATTCACAATTATTCCGTTTTACTAATTCAATCAATTTCATTACCCAGATAGTTCTGAATCAGATATATAACACTTTGAAAGATAACAAGAGTAATCTTGTTTACTGCTTACTTACATGAAGTACAGGGCAAAGCTTTCCCCCCAAACTGTGCCCCCTTCCACCAAGGGCATTAATAATTTGCTATGTGTCCTTCCAGAAACACCAACCTTTTAGCTTTATTTTTACATATTTCCCCTGCTTGACAATTCCACAGATCTCTGCATTTTGACCAGTTTGTAGTTCAATCACATTAGCTTACATGTCAGGGCTGGTAGAACACCCTGTCCCAAATGGTGGTTTTTTTTTAGCTGGGAAAGATTCACCCTGTGCTAACATCTGTTGCCAATCTTTCCTCTTCTTTTTCCTTCTCCCCAAAGCCGCAAGCATGGTTGTATATCCTAGTTGTAAGTCCTTCTAGATCTTCTATGTCAGCCACCGCCACAGCATGATAACTGACAGATAGGTGGTGTGGTTCCGCGACTGGGAAGTGAACCTGGGCTGCTGAAGCAGAGAGCACGGAACCTTAACCACCAGACTATCAGAGCTGGCTCCCAAATGGTGTTTTTGCTTTCCCTAAATACTAAGGGTTCACTCCAAGAATATGAGATAAACATCCCCACAATCCACACATTTTCATCACCCTGCTGTCTAAAAGAGTCCTAATAAAGCAATAACAGGCAGCACAAGAAAGATCACAAGAGAAAAAACACTCCTTTAGCCATTTCGTAAACACTGAGTAGCAGTGAATTTATGTGCTGGACCTGAGAGATACAAAAATGAACTGATTTCCGTTTTTATTGAGAAAATTGACATCCCTTTGCCTAAAAACTGAGCTACATCACACCCCCCTCAGAAGCTACAGTATCCCTTCTGTTTGAGGACATTCTCTGCACAGACTCTTGCCCTTTTCTCTCTCGCTTCTGCTGTGACTCTCACCGTGGCAGAGATCTCTGTCTACCCAACTTCGCTAAAGGTGATAATACCTGGCTAAAAAACTACATTTCCCAGCCTCCCTTGTATATAGAGTGGTCGTATGACACAATTCAGACCAATGATACCATGAGAAGTCATAGGGTGGGGCTTCTGGGAAAGATCTGTTAAAGGAGGGCCCTCTGCCCTCCACCT